ACCTAAGGAACCTAAGAAACTTAAGAAACCCAAGAAAGCCTTAACAATTCAAAAATCCCAAGAAACCAAAAAAATTTCGGAAACCTAAAAGAATCTAATCAAACCTTCCGAGAAAACTGGAAAATCAAGCCGGTCAAATCATTTTGCGGTGAAGTGTCCGCAGCTAGTTGTCCTGCGTCAGAATGTCGCAAAATTAAAATGTATCAATGCAAACTGTCCCTAACCGAGTGCTTTAGCGTCAAAATGTCCCGCAGCGAAATGCCTTCGCGGCGAAGAGTCGTGCGTTGAATTTAATGGCGGCAAAATGTCACACTCCCAAATGTCCTTGTGCGTGTTCAGGCACGGCACTGCGTGTTTTATTACCACTTCACTGCTTTCTAGTGCAACGGGTGATACAGAATGCTCATCCCTGTTATTATCATACCGCTGAATCGTTTTCAAACTCTCTCAAATTAAAGTACGGATTTTTTCGACAAGAAGAAACCTTTCTTGCTAATTTTTAGTTTCGTGCCTTTTGGAAATTGAAAATTGTATCTTTAGCCGATTCTAATGCAATTTAGTTTTGCGTAAATATATTTATTTATTTGCGTTTTGCGTGCTTCTAAAATTTATTGCGAGAAATCCACAGGAATGGATGAAGAAAGCTCGAACGGACGCCTAAAAATGTGCGCAGCGAACGCACGGGCGTCAGCTGTGTGCACCGGTGATCTTTTGGATCCGCACTGTTGCTGGCTTCATGCACGGGAAGTTGCCACGGGTTTTGGCTTGGTGCACGGATTTTTGCATATACATTTAGATATCTGCTGAATATTTTTTAATTTTGCTATCGAAATTGCTGTACATATAACTCGTGACCTTTCTCTCACCTTATTTACCAATGATTAACGTGAAGACCTATTTTATGGTATGCCATAACTGAGATATAGTCAGAGAAATCATTGTCTTCGGTGTGATGTCTCTATAAATTCTTCAGGTGGCAGGAGTGAGCGTGCAGTTTTCATGGGTTCGAATGAGGCCTTCGCATAACCTCGCACCATCTCTTTTTCAAATGTTGCCCTTCTTAGATCAAGCACGCAAATACATGTGGTCGCCGTTGCCATTTCAAAGAGCAACCGTATTCTCTCATTATTTCTATGATTTCTGGTTTTGATACTGTTCCCAGACCACATCCACCCCGATACTCGCATCCAATCTCATTAGATGAGCTCTGACTCTATTTTCGCCGTATTATTCCAACCCAATACCAGCTTAAAAAATAATTGTGGAAGAAATTTTAGTACTCAACGCAAAACAACGGTTGGACAGCGCAAGAGAATGGACAACGGGTGGACAACGGTGGACAACGGGTGGACAACGCATGATTACGGGTGGGGAACGGAGGACAACGGGTGGACAACGCGAGACAACGGGTGGACAACGGAGGACAACAGGTGGACAACGCAAGACAACGGGTGGACAACGGTGGACAACGGGTGAATAACGCAAGATAACGGGTGGACAACGGATAGACAACGCAAGACAACGGGTGGACAACGGTGGACAACGGTGCACGACGGGTGGACAAAGGATGGACAACGCAGGACAACGGGTGGGAAACGGACGACAACAGGTGGACAACGCAAGACAACGGGTTGACAACGGATGGACAACGCAAGACAACGGGTGGACAACGCAAGACAACGGGTTGACAACGGAGGACAACAGGTGGACAACGGTGGACAACGGGTGGACAACGGATGGACAACGCAGGACAACGGGTGGGAAACGGACGACAACGGGTGGACAACGCAAGACAACGGGTTGACAACGGAGGACAACAGGTGGACAACGGTGGACAACGGGTGGACAACGCAGGACAACGGGTGGGAAACGGACGACAACGGGTGGACAACGGAGGATAACAGGTGGACAACGCAAGACCACGGGTGGACAACGGGTGGACAACGGAGGACCACGCAAGACAACGGGTGGACAACGCAAGACAACGGGTGGACAACGCAGAACAACGTGTGGACAACGCAAGACAACGGGTGGAAAATGGAGGACAACGGGTAAGCAACGCAAGACAACAGAGGGTAACGAATGAGAACGAGGGCGTTGCGTGGACAGCTGGCCCAGGGGAACTGGAAGGTTACCGGTGGACAACAGAAGTCAACAGGGGGCACAGCAAACAACAGGCAGGATTTAGGTCTCCAAATAATTGACGTGTAGAAAACGTGCCATAGGTGATTTTTTAAATCCTATCTTTGACATCAGTTGCATTAAAAAATAGAACAAAATGAAGTATATCCTAAGCTTTATTTTTAGCCTAAGCACGAAGCTGAAGTTAGAGACAAAAGGGTCCTCATAAGTCTTACTTGTGAGAGTTAGTGAACAAGTCGACAGTTATTCACCCACTCGCAAAAATCCACGTGACTGGCAGGCGCATTATCATTCATAAATTTATGAAACGTCACACTGGCTGTTGATTCCCCACAACATTCCTCAATAAACTTGTTTCTGTTAACTTGTTCAAACATTAAGTAGAAACAAATACAGCGAAAATTAAAAAAAACCAATTTCAACCGCTTCCGGTTGGTGAACAAATGGCTGCCTCCTGGCATGGCAGCGTGCCTTCATTTCACTGGAAGCTTTGCTTTGTTTTCGATAGACTTTCAATATGTTCAGTCAACCAAATCACAAAAAACTGAGTAAACTCTTTCTTTTTTTGCATTTTTGAGGAAAAAGACGAATATAGATATGGTGTAGAAAACATTTTACATGGTTATCTGGCAGTTGTACACCAGATTTGGACGAACTTATTGACGTCGTCTGTGTGTACAGCACGGAAATCTGTGTGTACATAAACTTCAAACCAGTGAGAGAGCTAATCAAGTCCATCTTCCTCTATCAAGATCCTGGCCTACAAGTATTTCCATTATCATGCCTACCGTGAGGGTCCCAAAGTCTCTTATAAGAATTCCCGGAATCGCTAACTGCATAAAGCGGATATTAAAGACCGGAGAGCGGAGCGACATTCAATTTACCGTGGGACGCCAGCATGGTCCAGTGAAGGTTTTCGCAGCGCACCAGTACGTATCTCTACGACTCTCGCCATCGAATAATTTTCAAACCGTAGCTCGAAGTTTTTTCAGATTGGTGCTAAGCATAAGCACTGCCGTTTTTGACAAAACCTTTCCCGGGAACGTGGCGGAATGTGGGAAGGAAATCGATGTTCCTGATGTTCATCCCGAGGCCTTTTCCAACATGCTCCGGTACGTAATGTTAGTCTTCTGAATGAAATATTTTACCAAGCAAATTTAACTATTTCGTTCGTAGCTATGTATACACTGATGCCGTCGAAGATCTCAAAGTGGACAACGCAGTCTCGACCATGTACTGCGCTGAAAAATATGAGCTCCCTGTACTGTAAGATCTGTGTGCAAAGTTCGTACTCAAAGAGCTATGTGTGGCGAACTGCTTGCTGATTTTCGAGCAGGTACTTCGCTTGAAATACAGTACATAACGTTCGTTAATCATCTCGGAGATCGCGGTTTCAGGCGCAGAACCTGAGCGGAGCCGCTATTAATTCAATTACGGAGAAATGCCTGCAGATTTTGGATGAAAACACCCAAGCTGTGCTGCAGTCGGACCAATGGATCAGCGTGCAGAATGCCACCCTTATCCTGATCTTGAAGCGCAGTTCGCTGGTAATTGAGGAAGATTCTGTCTACAAAGCTGTTGAGAAGTAGGTTATTTCCTCTGCAAGCGTCTGACATTCGTGACGTTTCGAAACGTCTGGTCTAAGTTTTGGCATTCGGATGGGATGACGGTGGCCAATGAAGCCGGTTTTCTGTAGATGGGCGTTCGCCAGGTGCCGGGCGGAAAATCAGGATCCTACACCAGAAAACCGTCGGCAGGTTCTCGGCAAAGAGGCGCTTTTTCTCATCCGATTTCCCTTGATGACGGATACACAGCTGGCAGACGGTCCTATGAAGGTTCGTAGCTTTATTTTGAGCATGCTAAACCTTGCCGCGCTGCATCATCAAAATACTCTGCAGTTTAAACGTTGCTCGCGAAAATTCTTATACAAGCATATTGGCGTGTTTCGGAAGACCCCGACTTTTCTTATATGTATTTTAAGCAGGCAACTTATATTGCCTTCCGTGGCATTTAAGACAGTTTTCGGAGACGTGGGGAGTATTGCAGTTTGTGAGTGTAGCTGTGCTTAGTGGTAAATATGTGCAATCAAATGGAGGAAAAGTTGCAGTAACCATGTTTATTCTATTTAAAATCGCAGTTTCACAGCTTGATGATTTCCAGACAGTAACACCATATTATGGTCTTCTAGAGCGGTTTACTGCTGCGTGAAGAGCTGTGGGACATCCATCTGTTCAAGCATGCCACCGTTAAACCACGCATTGCCTTCCCGTCGCAGCCACGCATCTCCGGCATCTGTCGCATCGGTCAAACGGTGTACAACCATCATGAAAAGGTCTTCGCATCGTGGTCGGATGGGCAGTGGTTCCCGGCGTTGATTGTCGGCATTCATCATCCCCTCCACACTCTGCTGATTGTGTGGTGCGGAAACGGCCGGCGTGTCCAGCGCAAGCTCAGCGAAATTATTCGTGCGACGGAAATCTTGCAGCATCGACAGCGAATCCATGTCTTCTCGGAGAACAGCGGCTACCAGGAGGGAACATACGAGCGACAGTATCCCTTCGATCGGCAGCGACATCTAGTTCATATCGGGCTGCATGATGTTGTGGTGAAATTTGAGGATTTAATGGTTTCGCAGGAAGTGATCAGCAAATGGTGGGCGGCCACCAGAAAGAAATAATTGTCGCCGAGGATTAAATGCGCTTCCTCTTCTTTGCAGCGTTCCCCCCCCCATGTATTTCTTCTGATGTAATGCTTAGTATTCTCTACATACTGTTTCTGTGTATCTGTAAACGTTGCCCATGCATGCTCACTTCGTGTATCAAATTTTATTTTTCATTGCAACAGTATTAAATTTTCACACAAGTGTGTATCTGTAGAGCGGCGTTCAGGTCTTGAATAAACCTTTCGAACTAGCGTACATAAAACTCTGATTAGAATTTGTTATCAATCGTATGTTTTGTGACTTTTTCCTTTATGAATCATGACCGATACATCGTTCAGCGGCGCGTGGTTAAAAATCCACGGCAGAACCGGGTGAACTTTCGTGTAGAACGATCCGACTTCCGCACATCCCCATCCATGCGAGGTCAACCCTGCTAAATACTGCGTGCGAGTCTGCCGGTCGTAGCAGAATAACGGTCCGCCGCTGTCGCCGAAGCACACATTCTCGCCCAGTCCTCCGGCGCAGATGTAAAGGTCATAGTTTGTTAGGTTGTTGTAGCCCGGTGTGATGAAGCAAAAGTCCATCGGATGGATGGTCTGGGGGACATATTTGAGGGGCGTTTCGGGGCGCGGCTGATCCGGGAAAGTTCCGTCTACAAAAGGAAAAAATATGGATCTCCGTTAGCTTCCACTGTTTTAGCATTGTTTTTGGTTGTAACACTTTTATTTGAATATTAGGAATCCTTTTAATTTTACCGTGCGAAAATGCGTTGATCTTTTCTAAACGTTTTGGAACTTAAAACACTGATTTTACAATTTCTTACTGAAGTCTATTGGGATTTGCGTTTCCAGCCCGAATCCGGATGCTATACAGATATCGCCGGGTTGCGGTTCCAGCGTGTTCAGGCAGAGTTTACAAGCGCATTCTCCGTGTAAACGGAAATCAATGTCTTCATCCAATATGAGCAGAGAAACATCGTTGTTCTCTTTCACAAAGTCATACTCCTCGTGCGGGATAGGCACGGCCACATGGTAGTCACGAGCGCATCCTTCTACTCGCCCTGGGAAAGTTTCCGCGCCCTCCGAGCCACTGACCAGCGCGGTTGTGGCCCCAATAGTCACCGTCACATTAATCGCGGAGGCGTTGAATTCCGCAGCGGAAGAAATGTTTAGCGGACCGATCAGGCAGTGGCCGGCTGTAAGGATAGTGCGCGCGCCAATAATCACCCCACCGCAGCGATATGCACCCAGGGCTGTCCGCATCAACACACCCACCTTATCCCCAAAGCAAAGAAATTCATACGGATTATACGGATTTATACGGAACTTCAGAATTGTTTTATTCATGGAATTCTGATTAAGAATAGATGTTGTGGAGGAAAAGTACAATTGCTAAGGGCATGCATTTGTCTTTTTCTGTGCTTTGCTATTAAAAAAATCGAAGCATTGTCGAAAATGTGCGATTTAAAATCTTTAGTTTTAATTATTATATCGGTCACCGTTATTTTCATTATATCAAAGTTTATGCTGAACTGCTTTCTAGTACGAGTACATTTTGCCTACCGAGTAACTGTTTTACGGTGGTTGATTGGTTACTGCTTTATACATCGTAATAAGTGTAAAGTATATACTATTATTGCCATTATTTGTTGTACATATATTCCATAAATAAAAAATGCAAATCAGGTAGCTATAAATTTTAACTATAAATCAATCATTCAAAATGTGCACTTGAATAGTTTCTTTATTGACAACTACTTGCACTTTACTTTTTTACGTTACGCTTTCTCAGTTATTTTTACTTTTTAGTTATTCATAAATCTCCAAGCAATATAATTAAGGTAGTTTGATTTGCCGGTTGAAAATAAAACCGTTTTTGCATCCACAAGAGGCGTTCTTAATTAACTTTCGGGATGAAATTTATATTATGCATAAACTTGCAATATGTTTTAAAACAAGGAAATATACTTTTTAGGAGCACGCATAATCATATACAGTTACAACGATAATCCTCGTATATAACAATAACTTTCGCTTGATGTTAAACTTCCACAGGCAAATTTTATTTTAAATTATACACTCAGTTATTTAATAGCCAGAAACAACGAACAACTTTTCTAGCTCTTTTAATCATGGTACTAATAATAACAGTAATAACATTGTGTAATAATAATTGTTGTAAGGTAATTGATAGTATATACTTTATAACTTTTTATTATTTTTACCTGCCAGCAAATGGATGCGCTTCCATTAGGCGCGTCAAATCCCCCAACGATTCGACCAGTTGCTTTCGGTTGGGCAACGATTTGGCCGTTGAATGGTATCGGGAAGGTTGGTGGTACCAAAGGATTGGACACGGTCGGTCTGTTGGGTCTCGCCACCGGAATGACGAAATTATTTCGTTTCCTCCGAATGACACGTCCAACGGACTGCTTCTCAAGCGCAATGAACACCTGCGGATCGATATTGGGAATACCGCACTGCATCTCCTGTACGTACGCTGAATGGGAGTGAAGAAATTCTCGCAAAATCGAATTATTCACCGGAGGCCCTGTGGGCGGCGCCACTGTAGATGTGGGCGGCACAACCGCATCTATAGTAATGAGTTGTCGCGATTATGTAAGTGTATGAAAGTGTTGCAAAACCGGGGATTAAACTTACTGTAACAGCAGATGGCGTCGCCATACCGGAAATTTGCGCAATCTTTGGAGTACTTGGATGATGACATGTTGCTGCAGAGGTAAGCTGCTTCGGATGCTACACAAAATCCGGCGTACGCGCTGCCGTGACCAGCATCCGGTAGACATGCCGGTCCGATGATTTCTGATAGCGAATAAGACGGGGAAGGATTCGCCGGCAAATAGGCGCCATCCACATCGTTAGCGTAAGCGTCCATGTAATTAATTCCTGGCAGTCGATAAGCCGTTGGGAAAGCCTTATAGCTTCTAAAGATTGAGCCCTGTTACACGAATATTCCGTGCGTACAGATTACATAATTATATAGAATATTATCTATATGCGGTACTAGTGTTTTACGAATTTTAAATAACTCCAAATAATGTCAACAGTTAACGATGGCCGCTTAATTACGAGGTTTTTATATACATACTTAATATTCTGCATCTTTTAGGTCAGAATATACTGTAATAGCACGCCTTATTCTGTTCAGAGTTACGCAATGCAAGCCGCATAAAGCTCGAGCAACGTTTTACCTAGTTTCGTTGCGATACAGACTGTTGCCGTATACAGGGCGAGCTGGTCCATAGACCGCATTCCCACTTCCCATCCATGGAAAACCATCGCCTACGACCGTACCGGACAACACTACAACCCAACCAACAAAAATTGCTATAAAAAGATACGGCATCATTACGTTGCAATAATTTTAGGCTATCAACAATATTAATGCCGATCGATCAGAAATGAGTTACGATTTTGTGAACATCATGTACAGTGTACAGCAAATAGCGTTGTTATGTAAGAAAGATGCTCAGTTGGTTAAGTTTTGATTGGCTGTGGCGTTTACATGGATGATGGAGGTGAGATATCAGGAAGACAAAAAATATCATTCGCGTAACGGTTACGTATTGGATTACAGTGTCAGATGTATTTTTCTCTGAGAAATTTTTTGCTTCACTGCGAATGGTTGGGATCGTGACGTAACTGCTATTTACCTTTTTTGTGCTATTTGTATCGTGATACTTACTAAAGATCTTATGCCACTGTTTTGTTACTATACGCGTTTTAAACTCGTTGCACGTAGCATTTACTAATTACTGGTGAAAATATTTGTAGAAGTACTCTTTAGAGTTTAAATGTAAACTTTGATTCAGTATCACAGTGCGCTCACCCAACACAACGATTGTCGAAGAACTATACTTGAGGTACTGATTGTTCCTACGTATTTCAGCAAAACCATGTTATTAACTTGCTTTGGTTACTTAGTTTACTTTTTCTGGTTTTAGTTTCTTTAAAATTTTTATTTTCCATCATTTACTTACATCAACAAAATGAAATGTGTACCTGTAGACTGTAGTCACCCGTTTTACGATTACAATAACGTTTATTAATTTAATTACGCTTTAAATGCAACAGGAACATGCCGATGAGAAACATAAGAACGCAACATTAAACTCAAAATAAATACCAACACTATTCATGTTACAATGCACAACAATATTATGATGTGGTGGCAAAACATGCTTAAAAAGTAGCCATACCAATTTATATTATAATATCGTAATAGCGATGTATTGCAAGTTTTCCACTATAAAGTACTAACGTCACATTAGTAACGTACGCCTTTTTTATGTACTTATCTGGTAAAGTACATGGCTGTTTCTTCCGTTTGAGCTTACTAATTGGTCGATTTTATGCGCCGTATAATGACGTCGGCGCTGTTTTACGTTTTGCTAACATTCCCATGTATAAGCAGAGAAGTGATCATCTGTTTTGGATAGCGAAAGTTAGTCTAGACCAAAGTGATGTGTGAACTTGCAATTGCTAATAAAAACTTGTGTTATGAGAGCTCTCGTGTCTTCTGTAGCGAAAACATTAGTGTGTGTACCTACCGGAAGTCACAATTTTCTGGATAACTACATCATCCAGATCGTATTCGTGCACGTAGTTGGATAGCTGGTAAAGTGTTTTACTAGTTATCTGTGGATTAGGCATAAGAAATAGTTCATAGTGTTTATTTCCCACTTTATCTGCTGAGTTTGGATGGTCATCTAGTACGGTAGATGTAGTGCATCTTCCGTATAGCATGTCATGGCGCCTTCCGGAAAGTAACAACCCCTGGGAAACTGTGAACTGTTAGTCTTGGCCGAATCTGTAGTACCACGAGGATCCTCAGAGAGTCCCGTGAGGTTACAGTTTCTAAGTGGAACTGTACACGGCGATTGTGACCCAAGTCTTCTCAGTAGAAGCTTGTGGTGGACACGGTTCCTAAGTGTGAGCCAAGTGTCAGGCACGGTTCCTTAGTGTGAGCCAAGTGCCAGGAGTCTACAGGAAGTAGATCTCCGATTGTCTGAGTGTGCCTGGACGCGGGTACGCTGGGCAGTCAAGTTTGGCGCAGTACAGTAGAAGTCTGTACTGCTGCATAGCTTAACGTTTAGTTGTACTGGGAGTCGTAGTGCGGCTCTGGCAGCAACTTCGTTAGATAGCGACTGATCTAACGCTAGTGGCGTGTGGGTCAGGTCAGTGATCTCTGTCGGGAAGTACAGAGATCTCGAGAAAGCATACTCGTATACTTATAACAATGGCTTCTGAAGCAGAAAGTACGGATGTGTCTGCGAGTGTACCATCCCAAGTATCTGCTGATATTAGAGGAACGCAGGATGAAATATCCAGCGGTAAAACTACAAGGTCCCGGAGAAAGGGCTTGGTAAATGTGGATGATTTTGCAGAGATGCTTGCAAAATCCAATTACCAGGTACCGCCTGTAGTTCAATGGTCTGCCCCAACAGGAGGTAACATTAGTGAATTTTTTACGCGATGGAAAATTCCCTTACCTCGTACTGGTGAGTTAAGCCAAGAATGGGTGGCTTACAGTCAGGGCAAATCAGATCGCAAACCAGCAGGTTTTGATCACTGGTCACAAACTGGGAGAAAGATTCCCACTCGGATGACAGTGCATCTGAACCTGGCTGATTATGATCAGGAATATGGAACAAATTTGGCACAAATTTGGCAAAATTATGTTGATGCCAAAAATAAAGCCACAGTTGAAACGGCAAGTGTAACTGCTGATAAAGGGGTCGATGAACCGCCGCAGACATCAGCAGAAAAACAGCCCGTTGATACAGTCGAAACAGAACACGATACAGACAGTTTGATGGATGGCTCGCATGCAGGTAGCCAGACATCAAAAGATTCTCACGCGACAATAGTTGATCGTCTTGATTTGAGTGCGATCAATGATGTGGCAAGTCAAGTTAATTCCACAGTATCAACGTCAGAAGGAAACGTTGATCGGAATGAAGAAGATAATGTACCGAATCCAAATGTGCTAGCAATTCTAGATAATTTTGATCTAGAAAATCAGCTAATGCTGGAAAATGGGCAATTAAAGACTGAGCTTGCAGAAGAAAAAGACAAGTACAACAGTGTGAATGAGTTGTATCAAACTCTTGTTTCTGAGCATGCTGACCTGTCAACAGTTTTCTCAGCACTAGAAGCAGGTGCTTCCGCACTGAAAGTAGAATTAAAAACTGCGGGACGTAAAATTTCTGCTTTAGAAAGCGAAAATACAAAACTGGATATTGAGAATAAAACCTTGAAAAGACTTCAAGGAACTGATCGTGAAACGATTAAGAAGGAAAAGGAAAAATTAAGTGCTGAAAAATCTACTTTTGAAAAGGATAAAGTAGATGCGCAAGCAACTTTGAATAAGGCTGCGGAAAAATTAAAGGAACAGCACAATAAATTTTTGGCAGAAAAGGCAACGTTTGAAGCTAATGTTGCGAAATTCAATGCCGATAGGGAAAACGCAAAATCACAGACAGTGTCAAAGGATGATCTGCGTACCCGCAGGCAGCCGTCGCCAATAAAGGAACAGATTAACCAGATATGTGGCGAAATCCAAGATGTTTTGAATCTTGGAAATCCAAGGTCAACAGTTCCTAGTCGACATGAATTGCGGAAAGAGGAGTACAAAGCCATTCGCTCAAAAGTGCATGATATGCAAGAACAATTGGGCATTAGTCGAACTCCGTCTCCCACAATCACGGAAGCTGACACAATTGCCAATGCGCATATGGCAATAAAGCTTGCGGAAATTGAAAAGCGGCTGAAAGCCCAAGAAGAAAAAAGGGACAAACCAGAAAAAATGCAGACAGTAAAAAATGTGGATGAGGTATCCACAACTGGTCCACTGACTGCAGCTTCACTGGCAAAGGCATTCAAAGGTATCAAGAGTGATACACTTTGGCCAGAAAAATTCAACGGTGAAACGGATTCGAATAAAGTTGAAAATTTTCTCGAGAGTGTAGAAAATTGTATCAAACATAATTCGTGGTCTGATGATGAAGTCGTGGATAAATGCTTATCACGATGTCTGACAGCAACAGCGTTGAGTTGGTACCAAGATAAGTATCCAGCGCACAAATCAGATCCATGGTCCAAATGGAAAGAATATCTGAGAAATCATTTCTCAGATGAAAAGGATCTTATGGCAGTGAGGGATAAGATCAGCAGCAGACATTTTCTGAGTACAGATACTCCGAATACCTATGTAGATTGGTTCACAACTTCATTTAAGAAACTGAAGTTAAGCGAACTGGAACGTACGTACTACCTGAAACAGGGACTGAAAAAGTACCGTTATAATTGGTACACGTACATGGAGGAGCAAGATATTCAGGATACTGAATCGTTCCTGAATGGGCTCAAGTTGCAAGCACGATTGTGGAAGAATAATCCAAATCAGAGGGAAGCAAATAATGCAAATGGGAATTTTGCCAATAAGAATAATGGCAGGAATAATCCGAATAATGGCCGAGGTTTTGGATCGAATTATCAAAATCCAAATCAGAAAAAGCCGTTCATGAAGCCAAATCAGTTTCAGCAAAATAAAACTGATCAATCAGATCAAAAGGATGATCAGAAGCCGAGCACGTCTTCGGAACTAAAACCAAGAGTCAAAATTGATTTTGCGAAATGGTACTTTCCGGACGGGCAGGCAATTTGCTTTAAATGCCACGGTCCTCATGTGAGCAAGAAATGCGCAAATACTGCACCCCCAAAACCGGTTTTGGCAGAGCCGCCCGATCATGTCATTAAGCAATACATGATGCGAAAATCTCAAGCCAAACCGGAAACAGGATGTGTAGAGGCATTTGTGGAAACAAATCCCACAATGCAGGCTATGGCAACAGAGAAACGGGATAATGTGGTGGAGTACGAAGAAAGTCCCATCAATTACCTCCCTACTCTGGATGCTCAAGCGGCGTATCTCTCTTTACAGATTAATGAGACCGAATATGTGCGGGTTATGCCAGATACAGGATCAAGTTTGTCTTTGATTCCTATGTCAGTTGTCGAAGCTTTGAAACTGAAAGTGTACCGTTGTGATGAGCACGTTAAGGATATCGTGCTATCAACAGGTATAGCGGACGTAAACCCAATTGAGCCGTTATGTGCGATGTTCTACGTACATATGTTCGGTGTATGGTACGAGCACACGGCATTTGTCACTACCGGAAGTAAGAGGAATTGCATTTTACTTGGCATTGACTTCTGGGCATTCAAACCTTTTTACTTTGACTTCAGTACAATGACTTTAGTACCGCATGCCGATACTGGTGTAAGTAATAACAAATCGATATTTGTTGTACGAAATTCACCATTATTTGCAGAAGCAGTGAAGCAGGCAGATTTGACTACCAGAATAAATGTTA